TAAAGTACTCGTCGTTTGAGAACTCAATCAAATCAAAGGTAAAGACACCGAACACTGGAACTCCTTTACTGTCTAAAAGTATGTTGTATTGGTCGGCGTGAGTCAGTGTGAACGACGCGTTGACCACGTTCTGTGAGAAACACCGACCGCTGCTGTTGTCCAGATGCCAGTCGGTCTCCAATCCGTGTCCGACGTCTACTTTTCCCCTAATAAATACGTGTCGCCGAAACTCAGTGTCGGGTTCGGGTGCTGTGGGCACCACTTGTGCCGGACGTTTCTCTGTATGCGTTCAAAATATACATTTATTGTGGTTTTTATTTATAGATTTTATAAATTGGTTGAATTTGTTGTAAAAAATACCCAAATAGTAGACAAAATATCGCTCCGGTAATTGACGCCAATCTTCAATCGGGAAGTAATTGATGGCATGAATGCGGTTCTCGATATCCATTTGCGGGAACTTTGCAAAGAGTGTCATCAGATTGTTTGGATCGGCGTTTGGCACGTATTTATAGATATTGAGGTTTAAGGGCTTGAGATCGATGTCTTCAAACTTATCTCTACGGTTGGCTACGGTGTAAGCCTTCACCAAATCCATATTGTCCTCCTATACACACAACAGTAGTATACAATAGTATAACCACTTTATGTAATCTAAATTTGTGGCAATAATTGGTTTACCTCTTCGTATGTGACGCCCACCAGTATATCACTCCGAGTGGTCGTATCATTCAAATGAAACCACAGTTTCATATCTACCATACGTCTGACGAGTGTCGGGTCTTTATTGGTCCACAAGCTTTTGAGTGAAGTGATGTCATTAAACTCGACTCGTGTTGACTCCGGTGTCGATCCTGGAGTGTACTGAAAGCCGTCCAAACGGAAATATCCGCGCAAATCAATCATTACATACACGAAGTCCTTTTCCACGCGAAACGCTTCCACCACTTGTGGTCTTCTGTGTGAACCGCACAGTAATTGCCTGTCAGACAAACTGCAGACAACGATAGACATCAATGCTGTTGACAGCAACACAAGAATAGCAATCAATTGAGTTTGAGATTTCATTTTCAATCAATTAAACAAAAGTGTGTTTTTCTTTGTCAAAGAAAATTGGATAGAAATCAAATGTATGTCTAATTAAAAGTCTGTTATAAATGATGAAATTTATTTCAAATCAATTATTATTCAAAACTAGTGATAAATAAATGTCAAACAATTACTGAATTTGAGAAACGGTTTTAATTATATTTGCATTCGTTATAAATTATAATTAATTTATAAAACGCTCGCTCATAACACATACAAGAAAAACTATAATTGTAGACATACTTTAAAAATTACCTTAATTTACGAAAATAATTATTTGCGAAATTGAGAGAATCCGATAATTTCCGATTCCTATTCCGATATTAGATTGTTATTTATTTAGGCATAAAATACGAAAGAATTGTTTTAATAATTCTTTAAATTAAATAATTATTACAAATCAAATAATAAAAAATTTAATTATGTAAAGAATAATTCATTTCACAATTTGTTTTATAAATTGTATGTTTTAAATATCATTTACAAATATTTTATTGAATAAATATGCTTTTATACTGTATAAGAATTATTAAAAAATCAACATTTGTAACATTTGTAAATGCAATCCCTGTTTATACATGAGTTTATAAATGAGTTTATAATGAAATTGAGGGTAAAAAGCGGAGCGCAGCGTAGACCCTATCACGAGCGTAATAAGTTATTACTAATAACACTTATACATTATGGTAAGGTGCCTTTTGGCAAGGGGATTGTCAAAACAAATGCTCCCTCTATAATATAGGGTCGGCTTCTACTTTTATAACACAAAAATCAAAATTATTTTTATGGATATTTAAAATATACATTTTATGTGGATCTTAATGCTGATTACGAAAATCAAATCAAATTATTTTTAAATTATTTGAAATTATTCGAGTTATTCGACTTAAATTTTTTGAAATACATTAAATTTTGTTTAAATTATTTATATTTTATATTGAATCGATGTGAAATTTAACGCTGAAAATGAATATGAAATCCATTTTCAAGTCTCATTAAACACTAAAAAAAGTTACACGACTTTTACATTTATTTTTTAATTTATGACGTAATTTATAATAATAATTTCAATACTTAAAAATGAATTTCATATTGATTTTCAGCGTTAAATTTCATATTGATATAATATAAAATATGTATAATTTACACAAAATGCAAATTTTTCGAAAATAATTTTCTAAGTCGAATAAGTCGAAAGATATTTGAGATAAAATTTTTTGGATTCCATAATCATTTATAGCGTTAAATTTCACATTGATTTAATATAAAATACAAATAATTTGAACAAAATTTAATGTATTTCGAAAAATTTATGTCGAATAACTCGAAAATTATTCGAGTTAAAAATAATTTAAGTAATCAGCATTAAGATCCACATAAAATGTATATTTTAAATATCCATAAAATTAATTTTGATTTTTGTGTTATAAAAGTAGAAGCCGACCCTATATTATAGAGGGAGCATTTGTTTTGACAATCCCCTTGCCAAAAGGCACCTTACCATAATGTATAAGTGTAACCTTTATATTTGTCAGATTCAGTTTTATTATTTTAATTTTAAGCTTAAAATAATTTATTACATAAAATATTATCAATTAATAAAATTTGACATAAAAAAGAAACTAAAAGATGTGACAAATCATTCATTAAATTGAAAAATAAAATTTATAATCAAATTCTTGAATACTTTTAGATATTATTATCGCTAATAGAATCCATAGCCACAGAAGTGAAGAAGTCGCTGGCTTTTGAGTGGATGCTGTGGGCGATAGGGTTGCGGACGTGGACTTCGGTGCGACCGGTGGTGTCGGTGACGAGTCTGCCGCTGACGGCACCGGCGATGGGATCGTAGTAGTGGTTGTAGTAGTGGTTGTAGTAGTAGTACTAGTGGTCGATGTAGTGGTCGTGGGCTCAACACATCCGAAGAGATCGCCGATAAGACCCGACTTTAATGTCTGCAGATCTTTGGAAACGTTATGTTTATTAAGAGACACGCGTTTAATAAAGTACTCGTCGTTTGAGAACTCAATCAAATCAAAGGTAAAGACAC